CAGAGAAAAGCAAAACAGCAACTTCAAAATATTTTGATATTAAAATGAAATCTGTTCAGTCATGAAAGTATTCAGTCTGCATGTGGATGCACTCGTTAGCTTAATATGACCTCAGGAGTTTCCTTTTGAACCACGTCAGGTGTGCACGAGGTGGGCGCACGTTCACGTCGATTCTGGATTTACAATCATTGTGTGACGATGTGGACTGCGCGTGGTTTCTGTTCACACGTGCATGCAGCCCTCATGAAGCGGCGCCTCCGACTTTAAAAGAAGAATCAAACAAAAGGCAGCTGAGTCGAGTTTGTGAGCGTCTACGATCTCCTGCTTGTTGTTTGATAAACGAACGCAGGAGCGGCGTGCTGCCTTCCTGTGCTGTTCGTTCTCACCAACTCTCTCTCCCCTCCTCTCTCGCTCTGTTCTGTGATATGTGGTAACTGTGTGTTTGTGTGTATACATGTAACGTGCACTTGTGTACTTTGATAGCATCTGGAGGCAGGTTCTCGCACCAGCACAGACCTGCTGCATACGGAAACGTTTTCTCTCACCAGGGCTTTTACTGTTGCTCCGATGTTCCTGGGATTCCCTCTTTGGCTCACGGACGTCCCACCACACGTCTCCTTTTTCTTTTTTCCTCGTCCACCATTTAGCCTTTTATTAACTGACGTCGTTTTATTGTGGACGTTAGCATTCATCTGCTTTTTAATGCTATATGAACAGCTGAGCTTTAACGGCAGCGGTGGAAACTCCTCTGCGACTGGAATGGACGAACTATCACTGGATTGTTTATGAGACAGGAAGTGGTTAAATTTTTCGTGAAGGAAGTGACCCCGTCTAACCCTTACCCCGTTCCACACACGTACCCCCCCACCCGCCTCCCAAAAACCCCAAACACACACAATAGCACACACTCCCCCCTGTGGCAGCATGTTGGACTAAGATGCTTTGTACCCTCCATCAGTAAGAGGTTTCTTAGCATTTCGCCTTAAAGCCGCTGGTATTTCTCCCACCCTGCACGTGCCAACTTCCTGCCACAAGTGCACGTGACGCGCAGCAACAAAGCACTCTGGGTTTTTTCCTCATTCATTCAACAGAACTATTCAAGAATAATGAAGTCATGCCTTTTCTAACGGCTCCAGACGCTGATGTCATGAACATCAGTTTTTTCCTGCTTAAATCTGTGAGTGAGAGCACCACAGAGGAATCCTCACACGGACACGGACCATAGCCGAACATCCTGCTCGGATTGGATCTCTTATAACTTCATTAGAAATGACTTCCTGTTGAAGGCTTTTTGTTTTTTCCTTCGTCTGGCATTGAAAGCGTTAACAGGCTGCGAATTCTTGATTGCCAACTCCCAGGATCCTATCTCCTGTAACTCAAATCAGGGCCATCTGCGCTGGGCGTATGCCTGCCTTCCCCCCTGGCCTACTGCACTCAAAGGCTCTCTGTGCTGTGGTTTGCCCAGCCTTGTCACGTGACTTCTCTGAAAGTGCCCCCTCCCTCCTCCTCCCTCTTTATTTCCAGTAAACTGTTTGAAAGGAGGGGGGTGAGTCAGAGTAAAACCAGCTTCCCTTTAACCACAGCTTGTTAAAGAATTTGTCAACGTGGACTCAGGGTGTGTGTGTGTGCGCGCGTGTGTGTGTTGTGCCATTGGACAGATTTGAATTTGTACCTCTTGGTTTTTTTGAAAGGCGACTATAGCTTCGATTGCGTCAAGAGTCCTTAATCACTTCACTTCCTGTGCCAGACAGAGCGGGCGCAGGCTTGTCAGGAGTTAATGAGATGAACTTTAGCCGTCTTCATGTCGGGGGGCTCGCGAGCGCTCTGGAGATGTCTTCTGTGTAGAAGAAAAAAATGTGCGTGGGTGTTGACTTGTGTATAGGCTATGCATAGATTTTTCCTTGTGTGACACTTTGATTTTCCACATGGAGCAGATCGCCGTGTCACTGCCTGCTTTTGTCCATTTGAACCCTCAAAGTCACAACAAAGTGGTCGCTTTGTCGACTTTTCCACAACGAATGTTTAATAAAGAAATGGAACCAATCCGGTTTTTGCAGTATATTATATTATTATTATTATTATTATTTCCTTTTGATATCTAATTCAAAAAAGTAAACAGATTCAAACCAGCTGAGTCTTTATGTTTGAGGAGTTTCTTCTTATTTGGCCACCTGCTTGAATTAATTGATCTTGTAACCAGCAAATCATCCACAATATTCACTGGTCAAATCATCTCAAGGCTGTAAATGTTCATAAAACATTACAGAAGAAACCTGTGAAAGAGGCGTCTGACTCGCTATACTTTGGTTCTTAAACGAGGACTTGATGGTCCGATCATCTTGAGTAACAAATCAAACGTGGTTTTGTGTGCTTGTGTGGTGACTGAAGGTTGCTGAGTAAAGATTTGTGCTGAGCAGCCAAACCTGGAGCTCCATCCTTTCATGACGCTGCACCCTGACACCATCTTAGCAGATGTCACCGCTGCCAAGCCCAGCCCGGCAGGTCGGAGGACGCTGTCGTTAATAAGCTGCCAACAACAAAGACAGATGTTTCCCTGCTCCAGAAACAGAGTTGTGTCCATAGTTGTGCGACAGTAAATCAGTGTCACGAGTTAACACACAGACACACTTCACAGCCTCTCCTGAGGGACCCTCTGTTCATGTTTTCATTCTCTGTTAGTGCGCACGCCAAAAGATCACCCAGCACATAATGTAAACAATGCGTGCGTCAAGATACGGTGAATGAACGGGACTCGAGGCTGCGCGTGTGCGGCGCCCGGCGGCACCGAAGGACGCACTAACAGCCACAGATGTCAGGTATCCAGACACGGTCGTCAGCAGTTCAGCCATAAACCAGCCGTACACATTCCTTCCTTCCCCGTCTCCCACCAGCTGACACACACACACACACACACACACACACACACAC